CTTTGTATATAAATATTTAATGTGTACAAGGAAATGAAAAAGGGGCTAAGATTTTTTTTAATTCTAATTATATATTTAGTTCAATCGCTAAGGGAAAAGACGGTTGTAACATCAAAGCGGATCTTATTAGGCAACAAATAAATCCCTCGTAATAAATTCAGGTAAAGACTCCGTGAGATGTTATTGTCATTTTATCTGGACAAGGATTTAGAAAAAACATAAGGAGATAAAGAATATTTTAAGAATAAGGAATGACAGTTAAGGAAAAAAAATGTATAATTATTTTCCTTATACGTTGATGTTTTTTTATAAACCAGTGTTCATGAAGGCGATGAAAATTGTTACAGATGTAACTGCTACTTTTTCTGTTAATTTTCTTTTGAATTTAATTTCTAAAGTATACTAATACTTTGTCTAGAGATTAATAAACACATAACAGTTTTTACGGAATAAATATTATTTATTCTTTATTAATTTCATTAATGACAATACTGGAATTAGAAAGTAATCATAAAATACTTTTGTTATTTGATTTCCTCCATATATTATCGAGTTGGAAGATATGTTTAAACAATATATTTAACTTTTAAAGTACTAGCAGAGCCACCTATATTCTATAGCCTGTGTTAAGTGACTTTATATCAAATAAAACTTTATCTCCAGTAACTATACGGAATCATGGCATAAGAAATAGCAAACACCAACAAGTTATTTTGATGAGCTAGCAACAAACATACAATTTACATCAAAACATTATTTGCAAAATTTGTTGTGATTATACGTGCAGTCATTAATTCTCATAAACATTTTATTTTTAAATATTATTAATGTTATGTTTTCAGAATTACACTTAATATAATTTCACATTTACTACTGTAGAAGAATTTATGAAAAAAATGTAATTCTTAGATGAGACGAAACCGTTGGGTTCCGGACTCCAACTTTGCTTCAACGAAGCATGGGAATTGCGACCTAAATCTAGGTTTAAAGGGGCCCTATCTGAAGCGCAATAAACATTTACCTCCACCTTCCAACCTCCTCTCCCTAAGTAAATTATTTAGAAAAATATATGAACTCATTTTTCAATGCAAATAGTAATAATTATAAGTACAGCGTTTAAATGAGTTACATACATTTTTGTTCTCTTATAGCAATAATATTATTTTGGTTCGGCCACAAGAGAATTCAAAAGAGATACAATTAATTTCAATTTAAGAAATAAATTTATCCGTTTTACATAAAAATCTTTAAAAAGGGTCTTCAACTCTTGGCAAAGAAGCATGACAATGTGGGGAATAAAATAAATCAAAAAATAATCTTATACTAGATTTAATTTACATGCAACATTCTATACAAAAAATAATATTATTATTAAAAAATAAACTCAATAGAGCGTATATTTTTATACGGTTTAAATGTAGCTGATAAAAAGAATAGCACAGTATTTGGAAAACTGATGTCTGCTTTATAGGACTAGCTTGCTAGCTACCACTTTTTTAAAATCACGACGACTGTCTTGTTATGTATCACAAAGAGTAAAAATTTATACTCAATTAGATGATTTAGATTAGTTTCCATTTTTGCTGTTGGGAAGAACTGAAAAAGGAAATAATTAGATACATATTATATTATACGAAAATGTATATTTTGTAAACTTCAGATGTTTCATTCACAACTTTTTTTTAACTTATAATATAATATATCATGGTATTTACAACCAACAAGTTACATAAATGAATCGTTCATTCTTTCATTCACTAAATTCCATCCACTCATCTTAACATACTCCAGATTTATCATATTCACTATAAACTTTTATATAATATGTCTTCAAGTATTTGTGAACAATTTCTCTACTTCACTTTCCATCATCTGGTTTATCACTATCACTCAACGAGTCTCAACAAATTCTGACGTGATTTTATAAAATTAATTCATACAAAACCCAGACATTACTGCTACGTATTATGAAGGTTACTTTATTGTAAGTGATTTAATAAATTGATAACCATTTATAAAGTAGAATATTTTTATTATAGTATTGAATGTCATGAATTTAAATCAATAAATTTTTCAAAATGGATTTATACAAATATTTTTTAATCATCATTAATATGTAGGAGATTACACTACCATATCTCAAATGTTATAACAGTTTTGTTTGACACCCCAATATTTTTATGTACTTACTTTATTTTCTTACAGAAACATGTAATAATTAAATTAATACTTAAATACGAAAAAAATATCACCCCTTTAAAAAGGAATTTAATTTGAGTTTAATAATTTTCGTTTTTAATTATCCAATAAATACTACAAAACAACTTACATTTTAAGAAAGACTCTTAAATTGACATAATAATATGATCCCTACTAATATTATAAATGCGAAAGTAACTCTGTCTGTCTGTCGCTTTCACGCCTAAACCACTGAACTGATTTTAATGAAATTTGGTACAGTGATAGAATTGACGTTGAGAAAGAACATAGGTTAGTTTTTATCCCACACTTTTAAAAGGTTCTCTTGGAAACGCCATATAACGGAACTACACGCGGGCGAGGCTGCGGGCGGATAGGTAGTAATAAATATAACAAATTACATATTTTTTATTTCTAAAATACTGTTTTTAGATCGATGTTTTATCCTGGAGGAATGTCATAAGATGTTCAGCATAACTTTACATCTTCAATATGTTCTAGGACGGGTCCGCACAAGATTGATTGGTCCTTAAGATCTAGATTCGTGTTACACGTTGTATATGACAGCATGAATTAATTTTAAATAAATCTAATTAATCATAAATTTTGCTTAGTTATATACTATGTAAAGCAAGTATGGGCTATAAATAAAGCACTTGAAGAAAAATAACTAAGTAGGAGTTTTGTTTATTGTCAATTTTTATTATTTCTTAATCAGGGGCTAACTTAGGTGTCGTAGCAATGTTTATTTTATCAGACGTGTCAAAAATTTTAACAGTTTTAAAATCTTGTGTTAGATTCTAATGAAGTATCTTGAAATTCTACTTAATTATATCAAATGCATGATAGTTTATATAAAATTAAGCATATAAACGTTCCTCTGCAAAAAAAAACTTGTACAATTTTAAAATATCATTGCCACAGTTATTAAAACAAAACAGGCTTTTTTTCCATGTCATTTTTATATATAAATTAGTAAAAAAATAAAACTGCTTGTATATGTCTTTTAAGTTACATTTACAAACGTGCAATTAATGTGATTCATAAAAATTCTGACGTCTGAATAATTAATACAATCTGTTTTCAATAATTGCTACCGCAATACAAACTTCGTACTGTAACTTTAATTAGACACCACAGCATATTATAAATATGCTCTCGTCTTAAGTTTTTCATATTTTTTCTGCTTGATTGATATCTACGGATGATTTTATTATATAATAAAACAAATTAAATAAAACTTTGTAAAAAAAAGGTTTTTAAGAGTCAATCTTTAATGTAGAAACTAGTGTACAAAAACTTATTACAAATTAAAGATGGGATACTATACGGGTTCGAGATAATACGCTATCAAGGAAAGTCAACGTTATGTACCCTAAGCCTAAAGTCTATTTAAGCAGTATTGATGGCATATATAACTATAGCAAGACCCTGAACATAAGATTCATATTTCAACGAACGTCAGAGGACATTGATTTCACACCTTTCGCTTCAATACCTATTCGAAAGTCGTGTTTTTTGAAAATATTTGGGCCTAAAAATCCTAAGGCTAGTCGTTATCGAATTGCAAGGCCAAGAAACATGATTTGTGACTGAGTTCAGAGATAATACAATAATTCATTTTAAAATCGTCTGTTTTTAAATATTTCGATTCCGTAAGTGGATTTTTAATATAATATCTCTTGTACGGAAACTAAATCGCAAAAAAAACTAATCTTTCTCAAGAATTACCTCACATTAACGAACGAATGACGAAACAAAATAACTTTGCTTAAATGTTATTCAGAAAGTTTGTTGCCGGTAAAGTTACGTCGTTATAAGTAAGGCCTGTGTAAGATTGATTAGTCTCGAATGCCTCGATAAACCGATTACGTCATATTATTTAATAACATGCTGCTACTATTATTGATTTACTTGGTTCCCGAGAATAGAGCGTGGGGCTTTTCAGAGGTTATAGACTGAAGTATTACGCCTTTAAAATATTATTAATATTAAAGCTATTCAGAATAAAATGATTCTATTCAGAAGAATTAAAAAGATTTTTTTTTATGTTACTTAAATGAAAAGTACTCACTACCAAGAACTCTAAAATTAGATTCCTTTTTTTAACAATAGTACTATGACTTCAAGGATTCCATATCTTATCTATTACTTAGAAACTGACGTTTACTTCTACAATTAAAAACCATTAAAAATTCAATTCATCAAATAAAATCATTGTTATGATTTAAATCACAATAGATATTTACAGAAGCTGTCTCTCAAACACATTTTATTTACCAATTTAACTATTAGTTCTACAATAGTATGAACAATTAAGGGAGGTGTTTTCATGTTGTAATAAAAATCCTTCGTTTTTGAATTTCAACCAAGGAGTTATTTATGCAAATTGTATAGAAAACTATTTAACTTGATTTTTGAAATAAACTTTTGGCGAAGCGGAAATTTGACCGTGGAACGTCAATGATAGTTTTTTATTGTTGTTTATGTTACAGTCACCTTTAAAATCACTTATAATTAATTATTTTTCATTTTAGTAACGTATTCGATTTAGAATTTTATGTAAAAAGAACAGTAATTTTCTTTGTAAAAACCATTATAAATTTTAATCGAAAATGCCTTTGCTCTCCTTCTACCTGGTTATTATGTTATAACAACAATTTAAACAATGGTACAGAAATCTTATACTTATAGAGTGGTTAGACATAGGAGATTTTTGCATTCCACTAGCACTAAAATGGCGCACCCAAATTCATGACTGGTCACCAGCCTTGCTAAAATTTTATCTCAATGCGTTCCAGATGACTCTCCCAGATCAGAGTAATTTAGTAAGATGGGGTAAAGGTACCGAAAAAACTTGCTATATCTGCGGAAAGGCAGTTGGAACTGCTAAGCATTTGCTGGTGGGATGTAAGGTTCTCCTGGACAGCGGTCAATACTCGCGTCGTCACGATAGGGTTTTAGAGATCATACGTGAAGCGGTTAGTCTTTCGGTAGCCAGAGCGCAAAGGGAAATAACCACAAACGAGCGATCGATAGGTTTTGTGAGAGAGGGCACCAGGGCTATAAAATCAAACGTCAAGCCTTACTCTATCCTTAAAGCGGCTTCGGATTGGACTATCATGATGGATACGTATGAGAAACAATACAAAATCCCCGAGGATATTTGTGCGTCGGCCTCCAGACCAGACATATGTATTTCTATATTCGCGTATTTTAAAGCGCGTTGTGATGATAGAGCTTACGGTGCCTTGGGAAACCAACATCCCCAAATACCATGCCATCAAGGTCAATAAGTATTACGAGCTCACTAACGAACTAACTCGAAATAGGTTCGTCGTTGATTTGTACGCGGTAGAGGTGGGAGCGAGAGGTATAACAGCTAAATCTCTCTATAACCTAGTAAAAGACTTGGGCCTGTCCAGAACTAACATTAATTCATTCTTGGAACGTACGTCGAAGGCAGCCCTAGTAGGTTCTTTTCAAATTTGGTTAGGTAGGGAGAGGAACTTGGACAGTGGAGGTGAGCGTATAACGCGCGTTAGTTAAGGGGCCCCTTAAACCTACACCTGGGTCGCAAGTCCCAGGCACTGTTGAAGTTCCTCTCCCTGCAACGCGATGGACCCGGCACCCGCACGGTGAATCCATTGAATGCTAAGAGGTTTCGTCTCTTTTATTTTATTAATTTTGAAATAGTATAATTTTCTAGTTTGTATATTTACAATATTATAATCAGGTATTTTGTATAACCATAACTCTCATTTCAAATCCTTTATAAGTTTTTGTTGTAGAAATAATGAAAACTAATTAATTAAAATCACTTATTGTTTTATCATTTATTAATTAAATGTTGCTATGATCACAATAACACTTTTGATATATAAAATATTAGACTAATTGGAAGTCACTTCAATTTCATTAAAATTTCATACTGAGAGAAATTAACGATCCAATATAACATTTTTATTTTCATTTTGTCAATATTTTGTTCATTCATAACGACATATGTTTTTCATTATACATTGTTCAATAGAGATATATGGAAACCTTTAAAGCTTATTTTATATCCATTTTGAAATATGTAAATTTTTTTATTTATTAAGTACATACTGTTACTATACTATACTGTTTTCTATTAAGTACTAGGCGATTTACAGAATATTCGCTATCTACAAAGTGGAATAACATAATTTAAAATTGAAAACTTCTTGTTTTTTTTTTTATATAATAAACATTTGGCTCTGGTAAAAATATGCAATAGTTAGGTAAAAAAATTGGATGTTTGTAAACTTTGAAAATACATTAAACTTAACATGTAAAATTTAAAACTAACCCTTTTAAATCTTCTTAAGGTAAACTTTTATACCATGTTTTGTTTTAGCTAAGTATCAAGATAAAAATCGTGAACATACTTGATGATATTCTAATAAATATTGTAACTCATAATAAAATAAAATTGATATTTTCGGAATAATAAGGCGTATATTTTATTGTACAAAAATGATTTTGTTTTTCATTTCGTCTTCTCGTGGTCATGGTTGCAGAAAAGTAACCAATATCATTATTGGTTCTTAGTTTCATAAAAATATTACAAATTAATATATATATGTATATATATAATAATCCAGATGTAGGCTCTTTTAAAGATTTCATCCAACTAGATAATTAAATGAATGTAAAAAGTTATAGAACTAAATTTATCAAAAACTAGACTTTGCCTGCGCCTTCATCTGGACCCCAGAAATAGGTTTAAAGAATATCAAGGTTAAAAATAATTGATATTCGAATAAAATTTGTGTAAAAAAGAAACAAACATCCATACATCCATGCATATTTATATTTTTACGAACTTTGTTATTTACAATATAATTATGGTATACTCAATTACAATGTTAATTGTTGTATCTATGTATGTATATACCACATTCATATTTGTATTAAATATAAAAGGGTCTTAAAAACTAGTATTCTTTCTAATAAATTTCAATATCATGTCATAAAAGATGTAATTATGACTTATTGACGTGTGTTGTAAATAATTTCATTTCCTAAGTCTCATAAAAGAGTTCTGAGAGGAAAACGTAATGCTGGTTAGTCTTAACTGATATACAAAGAAAGAAAACATCTGAAATAGTACTCTATTGTTGTTAATTATCTTATTAGTTTATTTTATTGTCTGTAAAATATAATTATTATGAAAAATGTGATTTAAAAAAAATTATTAATCTTATATAATATATACCACTCTTAAAGTTAAGTAAAATTAATAACATGCGTCATAAAAATATTATTAAAAACACCTAATCATAACAGACTTTCAAAATATATTTCTTTATTCGCCATGAAATAGACGGTTTAACTTTATATTATAGCATTTATATTTTTTAAATTAAATGTTTAATCCTGCTATAACTTTTATTTTCTATTTCAAATGAGCGCATTACTTCACTTCAACATCAAATTTCCTTCGCTCAAGAAACCACATTCTTATTTCCAGTCAACTAACAAGGCTATAGCTTTCGAAACTTTTAACCTCTTAGACTTCGAGCTACGAATTTTCCATTAACGTATTACAATCAGTCCGGTAATTGATGTTTAAATGGATTTCTTTATTCATGAATACTTTCATATCCATAAAGGTTTATATTTTATATATGTAATACAAATAAAATGATGGTACAGTTTGTGAAAGATCATGTTTTTGTTAATTGTCTTAAATGAGTAACATATATGCAAAAAAGCCAGTTCTTAGATAAACCAACAATATAATTCCTAGTCTAAGGATACTTCGTCACTTAAGCCTATTTCATACTTTTGTTAATCAAACTATTTTAATGTGGATACATAACAATCAAATTACAGATCTTCATACAATAGCATTTTATACAAAATTAGTTATTTAAATTATTTTGCGCTTAGACATGTATATTAATTTTATGAATATATAAGTTACGTTCCATATGATTATTCAGTTCCCAAAATCACAATACATAAGTAGCGTTAACAGTTTTTTATTCATTAACTTCATAAATTATTTTATTAACATTATGTTTATTATTGAAGGTCGGACGGTCACCGCTTCTTCTGTAGTGTGATTGAAGTACGTTTTTTCGCTTGTAATAAATATGATAATTAATATAATATAAAGGATTTTGTTAAAATTTGATACAAAAATTATAATTAAGATTTTATTGAAGAACCAAATGAACTCAATAATTAAGAATATAACTTTGTATATTTACAGAGTACACACTGTTATATTTATTAAAGAACTACTTCAATTTCGGTCCACTTTATAAAAGAGTTTTTCGTCGCATCACTTGAGTGCCTTTCATTTATAAATATTAATATATTGCATTTCTTTAATAAAATTGCAAAAGGATGCCTTTTTATGGGCTTCATTACAATTTTAACGTTAAATATTTTCCCGTATTGTAGTACCTATATAATTTATCAGTACGACAAAATATTATCAGTTTCATATTGCTCTGGATGCACAGTGACTAACATGAATTTGTTTGGAAGCTTTAACTAGGTAATCACTGGAAGTGATTGCCGTTGGCACGTTTATAACGAATATTCTTATGAGAACAGAAACATGAGGCAGGCCTATAACTATGATGAATTAGAATCTAAACAACTTTTCAGTCATTTTCAGTATCTGACAAAAATGTAATCAAAATATAATGACTTCAATTTATTTATAATAATCAGATTATATTACAAGAAACATATGTAATTCTATAACTTTGTCGAGGAAATATAGTCAATTTAGTTACTTAAAATAATCGTTAGAGTTACTTTATAAAAAAGTTATTATAAACATTTATAGTACATAGTCTTTCCCGAAAAAAAAAGATATATTATAAGACTTCTACTTACAAATTCCATTTATATGGAAAATGATTAAGATGGTTATAGAATAATAATTTGATAAAAGCCTAAATTAATTAACATATATTTTCAATACAAGATCTTGAATCGTAATGTATATAAGAAAACTAGTTTAAAAATATATTGCATAAAAACAAGACCATGAAATGCTTAACATCTCGGTGTATATGATTTAGATGTGATGGTATAAAGTGAATATGTCTATATCGAATCTTAAAACATATTAAATAAGATAAATAAAATAGAGAGATAATACATAACATAATAAATAATAATACATAAAATAATAAAGAATATATTCATTCATAAAAGTTACTTTAAAAATATTAGACGCAAATAGGGTGGTGAGGAAATAAGTTCAGTATCCAGAAGTGACAGCTTCGTTGACGGTTGCACTGAAATATGCTTTTTAGGAAAAGAAATGATTAATATAAGGTCTTTATTTCAAATGTATTTCATCATCATCAGCCAGAAGACGTCCACTGCAGGACATAGGCCTCCCCCAAGGATCTCCACGACGACCGGTCTTGTGCCACCCGCATCCAGCGGATTCCCGCGACCTTCACCAGGTCGTCGGACCACCTTGTTGGGGGCCTACCCACACTGCGTCTTCCGGCTCGTGGTTGCCACTCAAGAACCCGTTGGCCCCATCGGGCATTGGTTCTGCGAGCGATGTGCCCTGCCCATTGCCACTTAAGTACTGCAATGCCACTTAAGTACTGCAAATGTATTTATGAGAGTTTAAATATTTTTTAATGTTTATAATACGTGTACAATAAAATTGATATTGTTTCATCCAAGCCTAATAATTTGAGTTTCAAAGTTTTTTGTAAAGCCCATCGAATTGATCTAACAATTTGTAAAGTAGCTAAATGTATTGGTTAAATTATGAAGGTTGCAAAAAATAATATATTATGTAATATGTAAGATTTAATTTTGTTTCTAATTCATTATTATTTTTTAAATAAGGTTATATAATAGTTAGTTTTACTATCATTTACACTTCCGATATATAAAAAAAATATCTGAATAAGAGAATGAATGTAATGCCTGCCGTATCTGTTAAATATAATATGTATCTGTTAAATATAATATGTATTATAGGTCTGTACTGTCTGTTAAGATAAACAAAAAGAAAAAAGAGTTAATGTGACTTTTGAATGCTTAAAGAGAAATACGTTTAAATACCTAAGCACAATACAAGTATTTTATGTAATACTTGTAGTTCATATGTACATAGTTGTTTCCATGCAAAAATCCTGCATCTCGTATTTGTACACATGTTTCTTATTTTGTTAAAAGCAATGTGATCTTATATGAAGTAAACAGGAATCACTATGCAATATTGTTTTTATTATGAGAGTTTATGGACTCACAACACGTCTTTATTATATGCAAAGGA